GGGGCAGACAGCAGCCTGGAAACCAGTTATAGCCCTTTTTGGTAAGAATGAGGAGAGGTTCCCCACCCTCCCTTGAAGGAGAGGCATGAGAGGGAAGCAGGTGAAGCTGTGGCACTGTCCCTGCCTGTCAGAATTGTTCAACCAGCAACTGTGGTGCATTAGGAGGAGACTCCTTGACCTGGCCCCTTAGCCCATACTCCACAGAGCCTACAGTCCCTTGGCCCAGAGACATAGTATGACCACCCGCGAAGAGCAAGGGCTTGGCTGCAGAATGACCCTGAGTAAGCCCCAGCCCTGAGCTTGGCCATCAAGCCCACACAGACATTCTCAGCCCAAGCTCTAGGCTCAGTCAAGGAGAGTACGGTTCTTTACAGACCTGAGGTCCAATGATGCCATCACTAGTGTCCAGGCCCAGCAGATATCCCCAAGAGCTTTCTAGAGATCTTTCAGCACGGCCTGGGGCTATGGTGTTGCTGGGGACTGAAGCAAGCTGAGGGAAGGAAGCATGCAGCAGCCATCCTGGCTGTCACCACACATTCCCAGAAATCCCCAAGGGCCTCTGACCTTGAAGAGAGGCCCCACCTCAAGTATTCCTACCAGATAAGAATCTTTGTGTCTTAGTAAAGACATCTAGAGGGGCAAACACAAAAACTTCCTTACATCCCATTTTGAATCTAGCCACCAGCACTTTCAGGAAATCATATTTCTGTCTTAGGATTTTCAGGATGGTCAGGGGACTGATGGTAACCCACTTGCTCATCCTAGCATAGTGCACAATGTTTATTGAGTGAATGATTGGATGGATGGATAGAAGGAAGGAAGGAAGGAAGAAAGGAAGAAAAGAAGGAAAGAAAGAAGAATAGATAAATTGATGGTTGGATAGAAATGGATGGATAGAAATGGATGGTTGGATAGAATGGGTAGAAAGGAAGGGACTTCTAATCAAACCATATAAAGTCACTAGGGGGAAATTGATGTTTTGATTGGAGAGTCTGCAGGGGTGGTGGGGTAGGGAGGAAGACTTCTGGGTGATAGCTTCAGGAAAAGGTATTTCAGCTGCCTATGGAGATGGTGCCATCACTGAGATGTTGAAAGCTTGGAGTGGAAGTCCCTGTGCCCTTGTCTGAGTCATAATGTGCATTGGTTGTTGGGGAAGGTAGAGTAGTTGCCCCTTCCCATCAGGAGATGGGTAGAAGACCTGCAGTGCCCACTTCCTTCTCACCCCCAGCCCCGGGCACTCACATAGATCCTCATGTTGGTGTAGCGTTGGCGCAGATTGTCCAGGACACTGGCCTCATTCAAGAAGGTCATGTCCGCCATGTCGCTAGCCTGGTAGAATTTGGGCGGGTTCATCTGCTGGATATCATCCTTCTTCACAGTGACAGTCTGGGGAGAGATGTCAAGACATAGCAGCACATGAATTAGGGAACAGTACTGTCACAGCCACAGCAGCATCTGGCACAGGTTACCACACACAAGACTGGTGTCGGGGAAAGAGCTGGAGTCAGGCATCCAGTGGGCCCAACTCCTGGTCCAGCCATGCCTCTCTGTGCAACTTGGGATGGGGAGGAATTTCTGAGGCCATATGAGCCCTAACTGCCTCCCCTCTGACGTAGGGATGACAATAGCTTCCATGGCTGGTTTCTGGGAGAATTATATGAACTTAAGTGCGAACGTGGAAAAATACCTTGTAAGCTATGAAGTTCCCTCCCTACATTCAGAGCACCTCTGGCCTATGCTTCTCTTCCCACCAAGTCCATTCTGGTAGCTGATCAGAGTTTCCTCATGGATCCCAGGCACACTTTGCAGAGATGTGACTCTTGGCTCCCTGACTTGGGAATTAGTGGTGGTTTCTAAATAGCAATGAACTTTTTTGTTAAAAAAAAAAAAAGACATTCTGTGCTCCCAACAAACCACCTTATAGGATAAAATTCAAAACAAGAAGCAAATGAGATAAAGAAAAAGACAACGGTGAACGTTGGGCAGTAGATGTNAAAATTCAAAGCAAGAAGCAAATGAGATAAAGAAAAAGACAACGGTGAACGTTGGGCAGTAGATGTACAGCATTAAGAGTTGGAGTTCCTGTGCATGGAGGACAAGTCCTGTCCCTCTCTGCTCCCCTGTTTTTCATCTGTAAATGAAAACTAACACCAACTCTTAAGTTTCATCATCTGGGACCAAACCTTAAGACATGATCCAGAGAAAAAATATCTTTGAGCTGCTTACAGCCTGAGATGTGAGGCTCGAACACATACTTGAATTTTGAGGGCTTTTAATAATTTATGAGTGCAATAGGCAGATAATCTGGTCACCACACCCCTAGTAAATCAAGCTAGGTTTTTTTTTTAAGCCTCACCCGAGGATATTTTTTCCATTGCTTTTCAGAGAGAGTGGAAGGAAGAGAGAGAGAGAGAAAAACTTCCATATGAAAGGGACACACTTAGATTGGTTGCCTCCTGCTCTTGCCCCAGACAAGCTGGGTTTTATTCAGAGTCCATTTCCAGTAGTTTCAGATCCCTGGGCTTTGCCTATAGGAGAACACTTAATCTCTCAGCTCCTGCAGCGGAATGAAGGCCTTTGCCTTTATCTTAAGAACCAGGTGAGTCAGTCTTTTCTGTCCCAAACCTGGCTGGATGGTGTGTCCACTGCAGATGCTCACAGAAGTGTTGTCCTTAAATAAGTGTTGTCCTTAAATTGCATCCAAACTGGGGCCTCTGGGGCTCTGCACTTATTATCCATCATTTCTTACAACACTGCAGTGCTCAGCCCTTCTGAAAAGTATCTTCCTTCTGAGAATTAGGCTTGACTTTCATGTTCAAATCCACTTTAATCTGGCAATAGCCTCAACTCTTTCCTGTCACTCCCCTGGAAGGGGGGTACAAAGTGAAGCTCAGCTATTGCAATTTCTCATCTAGCTTCTCTTATGCATGAAATGAACCAAGGACTGACCTCACACTCCCCCTTTGCAGCCTGCCATGGAGAGATGGCATGGTGATGTAGAGGGGACACAGGGGTTTGAGCCAGATGCTCTAGCTTTGAATCTGAGTTCATCATTGTGACTGTGGGCAAGTCACCTAAAGTCTCCTTGATCCTACTGCAAAATAGGGTCAGTAAATCTTATTGACCCATAAGGTTATTGAAAGGATTAAATAAAATGTTTAGTGTCTGCCCTGGCTGGGTGGCTTATTGTTGGAGTGTTTTGTGCACCAAAAGGTTGTGGGGGTTTTTGGTGTTTTTTTTAATCCTCACACAAGGATAGTTGTGGGTTTTTTCTCCCATTGCTTTTTCAGAGAGAGTGGAAGGGGGTGAAAGAGAGAGAGAGAGGAGGGGAAACATTAATGTGAGAGACACATCAATTGTTTGCCTCCCGCACTTGCCTGGACTGGGGCTGGGCCCAGGATNAGAGAGAGGGGGAAACATTAATGTGAGAGACACATCAATTGTTTGCCTTCCGCGCTTGCCTGGACTGGGGCTGGGCCCAGGATTGAGCCTGCATTCGAGGTATGTGCCCTTGGCCAGAATTGAACCCAAGACCTTTTAGTCCACGGGTCGATGCTCTAACCACTGAGCAAAACTGGCTAGGGCAAGGTTGCAGATTTGATTCCGGGTCAGGGCACATACCTAGGTTGCAGGTTTGTTCCCCAGTTGGGGCACGTACAGAAGGCAAGCAATCAGTGTTTCTCTCTCACATGGATGTTTCTTTCTCTCTCTTTCCCTCCCTTCCTCTCTCTCTAAAAATCAACAAAACATATCCTTGGGTGAAGATTAAAAAAAAAGTTCAGCGCCTCACCAGAAGTTTGCAGCAGGGTAGGGATTTAATGAAAAACTTTCTATTCACTTTCTCAAGTCATCCCTCACAGTCAGACAGCGTGGACTGGCAGAGACTGGTGTGCTGGTAAACCATCAGTGTGTGTGTGTGGGGGGGAAATCTCTGATTTGTACCATTTGTCAATTCTCATGTAACTACTTCCACCATGGCTGACATCAGGCTGCTAAAGCTTTAACAACTGGCTGCAAATCCTGAATGTTTAGCCTTGGGACAAGCCAGCTCCAGCACACCACTGTCAGGCGGCAAGGGGCTCAGGAGCCTCCATCTGTTGCTCATGCAGCTGAAGAGCTCACCCAGGTTGGCCAAAGTGTTCCAGGCCCTGTCTCACATTCCTCATGCCATCACAGGCACATAGCGATGGCTGGGCTACTCACTCTCACTCTTAGAAAACAGATTCCACATGAGAGCTGTTTGGGGCTTTAAAGATAAGAAGCTCTTATGATATTCTCTTATACACATACACTGTTTTAGAGTATACAAAGCACTATTCTATGTCCTATTAAATTGGAATTTCTACTGTGGGAGAGCCAGAGCTCAGAGAGGAAAAGTATCTTTCCCGGGGCCGCACAGCTTGAGTATCGTTGAGTCTGAACTTGAACCCAGCACATGGGACTCAGGGGCATCTGCTCTTCTTGCCACCCTGCGTCTTGAGCAGAAGCGTGGACAACAGAGCCTGAGTGTCTGCCACACTCAAAGCTCAGTTTCATCCTGGAGATTGTTTCCCACTCACCTGGTTGGTGACCGTCTTCACGGTGACTTGGTCGCCCTGCTCAGACTGGATCTCTCCAGCGACGAAGCCCTCCTTCTCGTCTTTGACCCAGCAGGACCTCTTGATGTCGTAGGGCTTGTTTATGGCTTCGATCCTCTCCTTTTCGGGAGGTGCCAGGAAGGGCATCGGGTCGACATCGTCCCCACATTCGCCTTTGTATCCACCAGGCATTGTGGCTTGGCTGAGGAAGGAGCAAGAAGGACCCAAGGGTGGGAACCAGGACTTCCCCGGGTGCTGCGGAGGAAAGAAAGTAAGGACGGCGTGTCAAGGCTGGTGTGTGGGCCGAGGTGAACGCCCGAGAGGGATGGGGTTGCTTCTCTCATGTCACTTTGGATGTCTTGGTAACATTAGGTCTTATTAACATAGAATAAGCTGATAACTCCTTGGAGTTGTGTACCCCCGCCAACCATAGGACACTTCTGCATCTTTTGTCTGATACACCCCTCACACTAAGGCTGCAAGGTCAGGCTGGATCATTTTATGCAGGAGAAGATGAGAGCCAAGAGAGGGTCAAGTAAGGACTGGAACTATGAAATGGGATGGGAAAACAATTACCACTTGGTTTTCACTTTACCTTAAGATATGAACAGAGGCCACAGGCCACGGTAGTACCAGAACTGCTGTGACTTGTCCCCAGCAGAACTCACAGCTAGTCTCCTTTTATTTTAGTGTGGTTGCAGACACCTCAAAACAGTGTTTATCCTCATCTCAGTTTTGAAATTATGGTCTTATTAGACCCTCAGTTGGAGGTTATTTAAATCTGCTAACAAAGAAGTACACTTTTAATTACTATATCACAAATTGACTTCTTAATATTTTGATAACTGTATTTTATACCATCAGTTTTCTTTGTAACCCTATGTAGTTTATTTTATACATTTAAAACCACTACTCTAATCCGAGGTCCATAGGCCTTACCAGATGCTAAGTGAGACCCGGCTACAAATAATTGCCCAGGTTCAGTAATTACCTCTCTTAAGAGGAGGCCAGCCTGAGGTCAAGCCTGGGCCTCTTACTTTCCAATCCCAGACAGTTTCACCAAACCACCAGAAAGAAGGAGAACTGGGGGACTCAAGGGGTAAAGAGGGAAGTCAGGGTGTCCCAGATTGTCTTGGGAGTGAAGAAACTTCTTGAAGTTTTGGGGAGGGTGTGATTCTGAGCCCCTTTGCTAGCAGTGCTGTTCTAGAGGCCAAGAGTTCAGCTTCCACCTTTAAATAAACCAGTTGGAGATGGCAGGTCTCACTACTGTGCTCCTGGACCCCTGCTGCACCGAGCTGTCCTCAGAAGAGCACCTGTTTTGGGAGGGGCCCTGGTGTTTCCAAAAGAGGCTGAGGCAGGACAGGCAAGCAGTGGAGGCAAAGCCAGACAGACACCTTCTTCTCTTCTCATCTCCCTGTGGGGTCCTGCTTAGAGAGTCCTGGCTGGAGCCTGGGTTCCCCAGCCCCGGAGTTGGTCCATTTCATAGAAACTACAAATGGAAAGAGGACAGTGGGGGCCTTGTGCCATCTGGTGATATCTGTACTCCCATTGGGTAAAATGTTTTAAATTCAGGTAATAAAATGTATAGGGTCACTAAGAAAACAAATGGCATTAAAATATAATTAACAAAATATTAAACATGCATGATGCTTCTTTACCAACACATCAAATAACACAGTCTAACAGCAGCCCTCATAACCACTGTTCTGAAGCAGCAGTGGGAATGGACAATCTTTTGAGCTTTCTGCAACATATGTAACGTGATATGAAAATATCGGTGACTTCCATTGCTGACAGTCACAGGTACTGCTAATATGACTGATTTGTTGCCTGTGTTAAAAGGGGAGAAAATGGTACATTTTAGTTAAAGGTAATGAACATCACAATGGGATTGTTTTCCCGTGGAAGATCCTGAGCCCAGGGTAAGAACCCTGCCTAACCCCTCCTGAGTCCTGCTGAGGAGCGCGGGGCTGGGAGCCCTTGGTTCCTGCCAGTAGCTTTGAGCAATCTTCATCCAGCACCCAGGAGACTTGTATCTCACTCAGCCGTGCCACAGTCACCTTGGAGCTCAGTGGCCTCCTTGGGCCTCCCCTGCCCCGTTTATGGAAGATATGATTGTTCAGTATAAACCTTCTGTCATTGGTTGTCCCTGCCCGCTCTTTGCATTGTCTTTTTGCTCTCAGTTTCCTGGTTCTGTTTAACAAAGATGGAAGTCACTGGGGAGATGAGACCAAAATCCATATGAAAAGAAAACCCAGGTATCAGCCAGGTCAGATTAAAATGTGTTAGGGCTGGGTTCCTTTTCCATTGTTCTAGTGGTGGAGGATGGGCCAGAAATTCTCCTTTGTTTAGTCCAGTATGGCTGCTTGTACTTTTCTAATGATAGTTTTGCTGTGAACCACCAGCTAAGGTCTTATTGCTGTTGTCCTGGCTGGTGGCCTGGGGCACAGACCCAAGGGCTGTACAGGCCTCTGACATCAGGTTCCACCCCTCGGTGGCCACCAGCCCCCTCAGTTATGACCTGAACTCCAAGGCCCCCCTGCATCCCAACCACTCCTGTCCTCCCTGCTCCCAGACAAAGGTTCTTCTCAGGCATCTTTGATAACCAAGACCCATTTTTTAAATTCAAGAACCATAAAACATATAAAAATTTAGTTCATTGAAAGCAAAAGCTAAAAGGGTCTTCAAGGGGAAGAGATGTATTACAAAGTACAGAAAAGGCAGGGCTGGGATTGAAACCAGCATGAATGAGCACCCCCTCTATCCTTGCCCTCCGCCCCAAGGGTGGTGCAGTGAGGTGGGGCTGATCTGGGTTTGAATCCCAGATGCCCCTGCCTCACTGTGGAATGCACCACAAGTCCCATAGGTCCAGGCCCCTTGGAACATTGAGATGCTCACTCTGCAGCCCGAGTCAGGCAGGTGCTCAAGAAATGCTCATCCTCTGCTCCCGCTTGCACTTCTTTCTTCATTACATCTACTTACCTCAGGTGACTCCTCCACGAACTCCCTCCCCATTTCCCATCTCCCCCAGCGTCCCCTATGGTACCCACCTGCGACCACACTGGAAGGGACTGGGTGCCCAGCAGAGGTTGGCCATTCCCTTTTATACCTGCCCAACAGGTCTGAGCCAGCAAAACCTTAAAAAAGAAAAGAACCCCTCAGGGCTCCACTGGGTCAGCTGGCTTCGCCTCCCAGGGCCTGACTGGATGTTCCCAGGTCCCTCAGGGGGGATCAGTGAATGCCCTTATTCTAGGACATTTGCCTTCCTCCCATTGTCCCTCTGGGGAAACTGATACCTCAGTCCAGGGGTGCAGGCTGTGGGTAGAAATAGAACAGCTAGCTAATGAGTTTTCCTCTTAAAGCTGTAACTGCACTCATAGAGGGGGCTGACTCTCAAGGAGGAAGACCCAGGTTGAATCACCCAAAGCCTTTGGCATGGATGAGCCCAGCCACTTGGTGATGACTTTGTCCCTTTCACATGCTCAGGCTGGAAGGCCCATGTGAGCTTGGACTTTACTCATCTAGTCATGGCCATGGGCCCCTTCAGCCTGTCATGGCCAGCAGAGGTCATGTGGCATCATGGTGCAGTGCCAGTTCTGAGTTCTAAAGCCAGCTTTGAGTTCAAAATGCTTCCCTTGCATTTTGTGGCCTTGAGCAAGTCCTTGCCTTTCCCATCTATAAAATGGGATGAAAGGAATCTAAGATGCCCTTATCAATCTGAGAGATAGCCTTTGGGTCTGTAGGGAGAAACTACTTGGGGGACTTTCTTCCTGGCATCAGCCATCACTCCTATCTCCACTCCCAGGTCCTTAATTCACTTTTTTTTAATTGAGAAAAAACATAACAAAATTAACCATTTTAAGTAAATAACTCAATGGCATTTAGTATATTCACAATGTTGTGCAATTACCACCTCTATGTAGGTTCAAACATTTTCATCAGCCCAAAAGGAAACCTACTATTCATTAAGCAATGTCTCCCCCAGCCCCTGGCAACCAACAGTCTGCTTTCTGTCTCTATGATTTTACCTATTCTATGTATTTCATATGAACGGAATCAGACAACATATTACCTTTTGTGCCTGGCTCTTTCATTTAGTATGTTTCCAAAATTCATCCACATTGTAGATGTATCAGCGGTTCATTTCTTTTTACTGCTGAATAATGTTCCATTGCATGTATATACACAATTTCTTTATCTAGTCATTCACTGATGAACATTTGGGTCGTTCCCACCTTTTAGCTGTTATGAGTAGTGCTTCTATGGACCTACGTGTGCATGTATTTGCTTGGGCACCTGTTTTTGATTCTTTTGGATATTTATCTAGGAATAGAATTGCTAGATCATTTGTTAATTCTATGTTTAGTTTTTTGAGAAACCTCTAAACTGTTTTCACAGAGATTTTACGTTCCCACCAGCAATTCACAATTTCAATTTCCCCATATTCTTGACACTTGCTATTTTTTTCTTTTTTTATCATGGCCATTCTGGTGGTGTGAAGTGGCATCTCACTGTGGTTTTAATTTACATTTCCCTAATAGCTAATGATATTGAGCATCTTTCCATGTGCTTTTTGGTCATTTGTGTATCTTTGGAAATATGTCTTTTCAAGTCTTTTGCCCATTTTAATTGGGTTGTCTTTCTATATTTGAGTTGTAAGAGTTCTTTATATATTTTAGATACTAGACCCTCATGAAATATATGACTTTCAAATATTTTCTCCCCTCTTGTACTTTTTCAGTTTCTTGATAATGTCCTTTGATACACAAATTAATTTAAATGAAGTCCAATTTACCTATGTTTTTCTGTTGTTGCCTGTGTAAGATTTAAGAAACCACTACCAAATTCAAGGTCATGAAGATTTGCCCTGTGTTTTCTTCTAAGAGTTGTATGGCTTTAGCTTCTATATTTAAGTCGTTGAGGCCTCAATTCACTCTTAAAGGAAAAGGGACACTCCTTAGCACAGAGCTGATTTCCTTTTATGTCTCTCTGGGTTTAGGCCTGGAAAGCAGCTACTTTAAACCCAAAGAACCTTCTGTTTAGTACATATTAATGTTTTGCAGATGCTTTTTATTACCATCTGATCCCTATAGCACGATTGTATTCTGACAACTGGAATTGGCAATGAAGAATCATATTAATAAGCAATTATGTCATTGACCTTTATTAGAACCTGGTCTGCCTGAATACGT